CAACCTCCACTACACAGATCTAGCTCATGCATTCCTCAAAGCTATTCAGTGAGGAAGGTATTACCCTCCAAAATTTACAGATGACAAAAGTGAGGCAAAATGGGACCATAACTTTCTCAAGATTATAGGGCTAGTAAATGGCCAATAAGATTGGAATCCAATTCTTTGTACTTCAAACTTCATTATTTTCCATGTAATGTGTGCCGTCTCCCATGAGGACAACCTGGAGGCTGCCTGAAAAGTGATCATAGACAGGAGAAATCAGAGAGCCAAGCCTTCACCTACCTCAAATACAGTTCTTACAGCATCATGTCAGTCCTCAGTTACCCAGCACTTTGTGGATGCCTGGTCACTGGGCATTTAGTAAGCCCTTCTCCCACTTCCTCCCACATTTCCTATGCATTTTTTTCCTTTCCACAACTTGGGATAGACATTTAAAAATGCAGAAGGATGAAATGCTATTTTTTTCCCCTCTACAGCAGGGGAGTGGGAGGACTGTGTGGATTAACATCCTCTGTCAATTTTTTCAAAATATAAAGCTTCCTTTATCTTCCTTGCCCAAGATTCTGAAGGCCCCTTTCTCCCTGCCTAATTAACCACGAATCAACATAATTTATTTACATACATATGTTGTCTGCCTGTTTTCTTGCTTGCCTTTTCATCAGTTTTCAGTTATGAAAACCTGCACTGACGGTTGGGCAATGTGATTTCTGGTCCTGTCTGTAACCTCCTCTGGGAGGTTACTTTCCTTCTCTGTCTCAGGCTCCTCAATAAGAAGAGCAGAGCGGGGCTGGGCGCAGTGGCTCACGCCTGTAATCCCAGCACTTTAGGAGGCTGAGGTAGGCGGATCACGAGGTCAGGAGTTTGAGACCAGCCTGGCCAATGTGGCAAAATCCCATCTCTACTAAAAAATACAAAAATTAACTGGGTGTGGTGGCGTGCACCTGTAGTCTCAGCTACTCAGGAGGCTGAGGCAGGAGAATCGCTGGAACCCGGGAGGCAGAAGTTGCAGTGAGCCCAGATCACACCACTACACTTCAGAGTGACAGAGCCAGACTTTATCTCAACAAAAAAAAAAAAAAAAAAGCGTTTTGGGGCCAGGCTCAGTGGCTCATGCCTGTAATTCCAGCATTTTGGAGGCT